CCCTCCAACCAGCTTGTATTCTTCATCAGTCAGGTAGGGGCAAGCAAGGAATTGTGCTTCAGCGGGGCCTGAGGACACTTGAAAACAACTTGTTTACCTGAGTGCATTAGATTATTCCTCCCCGCAGAGTTCATTACCTGGTAACTTTGTAAAAATTAGCTATTTCTTCATAGGAACAGTGCATGTAAATAGTGAGGGTAATGGTACTAAGAGTTTGTCATCTTTGGGTCAGTTATCTTCCACCACTTATAGGTCTGTGGTCTAGGGAAAGGTAGCTTGCCTCTCTTGCCTCTATAAAATGGGGATAATCACAATCTTATAAGTTGCCATGAAAGAATACTTAGAGTACTTCCTGGTACATAATAAGTGTCCAGTAAATGTTAGCCATTAGTACATAATCCAAGGGTGTGAGCATCCCGAAGTAAAGTTAACGGAAGTGTCAGGCAGAAGTTATACATCCCAGTACATGCTATCTAGAGAGAAATAAAATGCTCCTTCCTTACGCTATGTGCTTCCACTTCCTTTTCCACCCTAGTATCTACAGTTCTTGGCATGTAGATTTTAAGGGAAGGAATAATTGAGCTATTAATTGATTAATTTTTATTTCATTTCTCTTGATGTTTTTCTGCAGACCTGAATATCCCTAGGCAGGATGTTTGCTTTTAGAAATAGCCAGTAAAGGATTGTGAGAAATAGTGCACTTTATGTTCTTTGTCTGACTCATGTAACAAAATTAATTGTTTTTCTGTTATCTCCTCTTCGTTGATTTTCATTGATCTTCTGTACAAACCAAACCCTCTCAGTGTCTTCAAATCTGCAATAGTGATTGCAGTGTTTATCAGTTTAATGAAGTAGTAGAAATATGTGTGTATGTGCGTATGTATGTGTGTATGTGTGTGTACCTGGAGGTACATGAAAGAAGAGGAAAGAAAATATTTAAATAAGAGCTTTTATTTGTATGTTCAGTTTCCGCGAACAAAACTATTATAAAAATTAGTAAATAACTTCCCATTAATATCTAAGACTACAAATGCCACCTTGCTGGAGAGTCTGAAAATTATAGTTCCAATAATTAGATGTAACTTATGTTAAGAGAAGATGGATTTCTTTTTTCTCAAGATTTCTACTTTTACCTTTCACTGTTTGAGTAATTGTCGATTCCAATTTCTGTCTTGGATATTGATCATGAATAAACTGTGACTGTGTCATCAGACTGAGTTCTAGGAGGGTCTCAAAGTGGCAATGTACACTTTCAAAAAAACAGTGCAAAAGTGGTAATATACACACTCGAAGAAAGAGAGAGAGAGACACGGTGAGAGAGATGCATCATAGTCTGGGGCTGGGTGTATTTATGGGAGATTTGGGGATGGAAATCTATAGAAGCTGAGGGAAAAAGGGATTGAGTTTACATACAGAAGACTGAAAGATGATGGCTGTTCTGCTAGGAAGAGCCATGGCCCTTTCAAAGGTGACAGCCATCGCAGATGGGAGAGCTGTAGCCCACCCCAAAGGAAAGGCCCATTTCATGGGTGAAAGATATGGTCTTTTCACAAGTGAAAGAGGCATATCTGCAGGTAAAAAGGAACAGACAAAGTTCATTCATAGGTAAATGGGAATTGCACAGCCTTATTGTGTCTTGGGAAAAAAAGAAAGTTAAAGTAAGCTCCTGTCCTGAAGCTGCAGTTTTTATTTTTAAAATTATGATTTTCCTTGTCAACTTTTTGCCTTCCCTTATTGCTTTTATCTAATCTCAGTTGTACTCAGACTGATATCTAGTTTCTCAAACATGCTACTCACTTCTTAGCACAATCTCCAGATTCTTTGCCATGGATGATAGGATTCAGGATGGATTTCTAGGTTCTTGTGTGTGACAAAGAAGTTGACAGGGTGTGTGATAAGAAGGAAAAATGCAGCAAAGTTTAATGAAGTCTGATTAGGCAATGGTATGCTTAGAGTGGGTGGCTTGTGCTAGCAGAAAGAAAAATGGCAGAAGAGCTGAATGTGGTATGTTTAAGAGTTAAAGTGTTGTGCAGGGTCTAGAGAGCATGACTGTTAGAGTGACTGACAGCTGTGTCTTCTATGTCCTTTCCCAGAATTTGCATATGGACATAGAAGATGCAGTCCATATGCATGAAGCTTTAATGAGCTCCAAGTGAAGAAAGGTTACTATAGGTCATGCAGGTGGCTTTGGCACACACGCATCTTATTTCTACCTCATATAGTAGGCCTTAGTGATAAAGGAGAAATATAACTCCCAACCTACTAGATGTCAAATGTGTTGAGTTCGTGTCCCCCAAATATGAAAGAATGATTTCCAAGTGACAACAGTGGTTAAGAGAGGGAAAGTTTTATTAAGAGATAGCTCCTGAGAGATAGGAGGGGTCCTGGATGGGGTGGTTAATGGGCTCTTTGTCAGGGGTAATTTATGCAGCAAAGTCACAATGTGGGTAGAATTTGGGTCAAACTACCATCAACCTATAGGATTACAAATGTAGCTGCCTAGCAAATATGGATCCAATAGGGAAATGAGTCATGTAGCATGAGTGCATGGAAAGAACAAATGTATTCCTGGAAAGAGATGGGGCCAGATACTCTGGTCACTCATCTGGACAACTGTTGCCCATCTGGACTTACTGGACCAGGTGGTGCTAATTACAGGATAACCTCAAGTTATTGCTTATCCCTTAGGGAGGCATGCAGGCCTGGCCATTGCATCATTATCTTGAGCCCTGGCCTTCTTCAGATGCACCTCCAGTCACAATTCTGATGTTTTTATTTTTGTGCTGACTTCCTTAAGAATATCTCAGTCCCTCTCTGACTGTGTATTAATTTCTATCTGACTTAGCTGGCCATAATATTAGTACAAAGATCAGGGGGTTGGCCCTGAGGCATTGCCTATGTTCAAATGAGTAGACAGAAAGTGTCCAGTAGCCTTAATTATACTACTTATAGTATTGTCATGTATAGAAATGGAAGAGCAAAGGTCATGGATGCATGAAGAGTGGCCATTATTTAAACCTGCCAGCCAAAGTGACCACAGGCAGGCAGTTCTGAGCCAGAAATTCCTTCAACCAAGCTGAGGCCGAAGGCTTTCAGACTGCCCTGGCCTGTCACTGACCATCCGTGCTTCATTACTTGAAGTCCTTTGTTCACCGTTTCTATCCCTTGTCCTTTCTGATCTTCTTTCCTGCATGTTTGCCTCTGGTTTTATGCTTTTAAAAAGTTATTCCCGATCTTTTATTTCCCCTTACCTTTAGTCTCATGAAAATTAATCTTACCCAAATCCATATTTTAAATACCACAACTCTAGTATTCTTCAGTGTTTTAAATGTTCACTGTCATGAAGCTTCTAATTTGCACAAGAGCAAAAAAAATGATCTTGTCTACTTTTTCACAAGTCCTAATCTTTCATATGGCACATTCTGTCCCAGCTCCTCTAGCCAAAAAATTTTTCTGCCTTTCTATTACAGCACTTATTGTAAAGAATGACCAGGGTTTTTTTCTCTGTGGTTTCCCACTGATTTCTGAACTCATTGAGAACAAGGAACCTGTCTTTTGCTGAAAATATTCCAGGTATCTATCATAATACTGAACAGTACACAGCAAGCAGTCAAAAAAGCCATGCCAAGAAATGAAAGCATCTACTTCTTAGAAACATTGTAGTCATCTTTGTTTATAAAAGTACATAGTTATCAATTAAACCAGTTTCTAATCACTGAAAAATGGACCACGTGCAGGTAAGTTGATTTGATAGGATCAGAAAATACCAAGGACTGTGGGGAGGAAACATGGGGGATGTAAAAATGTAAAGTTATTGATTGAGATGAAGAAAAAGATTCAAAAATAGTGATAGTATGACCCTGTAAATCTAATTGTTACCATTGAATTATGTACTTAAAATGGTTAAAATGTTAAATTTCATTTTATTATATAAATATATCTTATAAATATATCTTAGCACCCAAAAAATATGAACTGTTTACAAACAAAAATTGTTAACATATTCAAGGTAAGTAAATGTATATTATATAAAAGGAAATGCTTGTTTGCTAAAAAAATAATTAAAAGGAAGCTTGGTAATTACTCTTTGAAATAAATATGGTTAGAAGAATATGTTATCCCCTATTTATTTTCATTTCAGACAAATATTACTGCAATAGAAAATATCACTGAATAATGTGATAAATTTTAAAAAGTGATAACATACAACTGAAGGAGTAAAAGAAAGCACCATTTAAATAAACAACCTATAGGGCTGAATACCTGGGAGGTATTCTACTACTCTGCTCTCCACAGGCAAAGGTCATTAGCTCAACAAGACAGTTGGCTTCCCATGTGCACTTAGAACAGACTAACCTATATCTGCATTTGTTTTGACAGGATGGACTGTCAAGTTAGATAGTCTTGGGGCCTAAGGGTACTGATTTATGCCCTAGGTCTACCTGATATTCTGTGACTGATAGGCATCTTGCCAATGCATACTTTTCTCATGTAACAAATGAAGGGAAAAGAAAATATCTAGCATTATTTTGTTTTGTAAACATGAAGATCAACTGGTTAGGGCCTGTCATAACCTCATTAGGCCTAAGTCATTCTTGTTAACTGAGATCTGAATAAGCTTATATTGAATAAGGTGTTTATCTACAGAGAATGTGATAGATTCTGAAAATAACTCTGTGTCCACAATGTCTGTCTCTCTCTCTGTGTTTTTCTTTTAGTTTAAGTATATATTAAGCATACTTCATAATATATGCTTTATTATTCCATCCAATATTCCAAGCCATGGTTCAGAGGTTTTGCGGAAATACTAATCTATTCTGAGAGCACTGTTACTGTTTGCAATCTTTAGGTTGTATTTCTCAAGCAAACATGGATAAAATTAAGAAGCATTCCTTGTCTTGGGAGGTCTGTCTTATAGGCATTGATTTCCTTGTGTAGATTATTTTCTAACCATTTTCTCTTTCTTTGTTTCCCTCCTTTGCTTGCTGACTTCAATGTAGCAGACCATTTGGGGATTGAATTCATGGGTAAGACTTAAAAAACTTGCTCCTTTTATCATCCTGCTAAAGCTAAGTTTTATAATGTGCATATTGTTCTTTGTCCTCGTCTGATTATAATTGAAATGTCTCAATATCAGATTCCATTAGTAGTAAAAAAATGTTTTAGTCCATTTTCACTAAGTAATGACTTAAAATGAGAGACTTAAGTACTTATTTGAAAAGCAATTTAATGTTAAGTGCCTCTGCAAGGCTACAGAAGTTGGAATTGGTTCCTGGCTTTGATTGTTTCCTCTAATTCCCAATTTTCTTATCTGTAAAATAGGGATAATAATAGTTCCTATTTTACTGCACTTATAAATTGCTTGGTACAATATCTACAACATGGTAAACACTTAAAATAATAGAAAACAATGATTTTTAAATGTCAGTTTTTGTGTTTTCCCGCTCTAATTCCTTTTTCTTTTGCATGATGGCTACTCTGGAAACATTTTGGCATTGATCTTAATTTGGAGTTTGGGGTTTTAACCATTTCTATTTACAAAATTTTACTAGTTGTTTTTAAAGAATCTGCAGTGGATGACACATTTTTAAAGCATTAGAATACTTCTGGGGCACTATTTTCTATATTCAAAGATAATGCATTATAATCTAGAGGTAACAGTGAAACTTTATCATAAACTAAGTGACAGAAGAGGATTCTTAAGTATCAAAATGTGTCACAGTTCAGACATGGAAAGATACTCAGGAGTAAGAGCTACAAAAATGAAAAAAATCTCAATTTAAATCCAAATTATTCGGCCCTACTTGTTTGGCTTTTGTGGATCTTCACATTTTTTTTTTCTCTTATACACATTGATGTGAACACTTGCTTCATATATGTATATGCTAATTGTGGTAATCCTTGTATATTTACTTATGTTCATTTAATCCATTTATCCATTTACTCAGTGAATATTTATCAAGTCATTATAAATGAAGAAAAATGCAAAATGGTAGAAGTAAATTAGCAAAAGTAGGCAAATAAAGTTTTAGGTTTAGTAAGCTTATAGATAAAAAATCAAGTCATAGAACTTATATAAAATTGAAAGTCTTTTAAGACCTTTTCCAGGCAAGCTGATATTAGTTTGGACTGGTGTGATGGTAGAAAATATGAAGAGAGGTTGGTAGATATGTAGAAGGTAAAATCGACAAGTATTTGAAGGCAATTGATGTTAAAATTTATAAGGGAAAATTATTGTTTTATTATTTATATATTTAAATAAAAGTTGGATTAATGACTGAAAATAGAATATTGATAAAAGAACATTTTTGAAGACATTTGTTAGATTAGGTGTGACAATTTAAGTCTGGGGTACTTTTGACATGCTTGAGAGATGTCAAGTTGATTGTTTTATTGCTAGAAGTCTTGAGGGTTAATAAGAGATCACTAATTGCATTTTCATCCTGGATTTCCTTCCTTGTTGTATGTTTCCTGGGCTGTGTATCTAGATATTACATCATCGAAAAGGCAGACAGCTCAATTCCAGCAGGTCTGAAGTTTTGCTAGGTAGATGTGATTAAAACTCAGAAGGACAATGAAATCCAGGTTAATATTCAAATGAAGCACCATGAAATGTAAGGTATGTGTGGAAGAAAGTATAAAATCAAATATTAGTCATGAAAATATTTGAACAAGTTGGTGCTACAAATAGAAGATTGTGGTCATATGGCAGGCTAGTTGATAATGATTTTGAAGAAGATGGAGTTATATGATATGGTAGTTTTCAAAGAGTGCTTGTGGGAATGCATAACAAAATGAACTGGAGGAGTAAACAATTTGAAGCTAGAGGTCAAAGACTTGTGAGGATATAGTTTTGCACAAGTCATCAAGTAGATACTGCAGTTACTCATGATGGTGCTAGGGTAGGGATAGAGGAAAAATATTTATATGTTAAAGTCTCTAATAAAAGAGATAGACTATGTCAGTGTCTAATAGATGGCAATGAAAAGGGTTTCTTATGTACACATAAGGACAATAACTGGTGCATCACAAAATAGAGCTCCTAGTAATGACTCAAACTCAGTGGCAATTTATTTCCTGCTACTGTCTTTCCCTGTCCTAGTACATGTTTGTGGTCAGCAAATAACTATTCTTCATCCAACTAGCAAATCATGGATTCAAGCTCTTTTTGTCTGATGGCTTTCATGTCACCTAGAATGCCTTGCAAGCTCCATGTAATTAGCAGATGAAAAAATTGAACATAGCAACTGTGTCACCACTCCTTGATAGACTTGGCCTAAAAGGGTTCATTGCACTTTTGTTAATATTCTGTTAGCTTAAATCACAGAACCACATCTGACACAAGAGAGGCTCGGTCACGAAACTTTAGTAACTCTGGGAGAAAAAAGGAAATGGATTTTTAGTAACCTCTATCTCCATAAGAATAGCACAAGCTTGAAAAGAGCAGCACTTTTCATAAGAGACAAGAAAAAGAGTTCATTAAGAGACAAGAGGATAGATCCCAAATTTGAGTATAAGAGAAATTTTAAAAAGCTTTTGAAGAAGGTAGAAGAGAATTGGACTTTTCAGGCAAGATTCAGGTCTCAGTTATTATAGAAGGAAGACAGAAGTCAAAGGTGAGATTGAAAATGCAGAGAGGGTATTGGTGGACATGGATGAGCAATGTCAGAGAAGCAAGCAGAGAGTTTAGTTGCTGAAAGAAGAGAAGAAAGCTAAGTCATGGGCCACAAATTATAGAAAGCTATGGCTCAATTTGTGCAGTAGAGTATATTGGTTGAGAATCATAAGCAATCTGCATTTTCTTCTTTCACTGATGAGAGCAGGGATGAGTGGCAGAAAGTATGAACGTCTGTAGTTCTTTTGAGGAAAGTGAGCACTAAACCTCATGACCAGAGAATGTGCTCGGCTAGGTTGTGGCAGTTGCAGGCTCAGAGAATGCAGTTTCATTGCTGTTTAGCATAATGCCCAGAGACACAGGAAACAGCGTGGTGTTGATAGTGGGCCTGAGAAGAGTAGATCCTACAAACAGAGTGGCCATAGATATAGCAAAGGAAAATTCGCAAGCAAAGGTTATACCACTGTTAAATACACCTTTTGCCATCTTACTGTGAGTACTTCTGGTGTCCCTGATGACTGACAGTAGGATGGATCCCCTAAGTGTTAAAGGGTCTGTGTTAGAACTCACTTTAGGGAATGTGGTTACTGGTACCAAAATAATAATAGGCTATTGTGTAGTTCATCTGTATGACTCTCAAGATTAAAGTTATAATGAGGCCACAAAAGTTAAGAGTTAATCATAGGTATAAAGCCTTATAGTGAATAAGTGAATGAGTTCTGTGAATGTACTATTTAACTCCAGCAATAGATATTGCCTTGAAGGGAAGGAGGTTGAACAAGAAGTTGGAGTTAAAAACAATGAATAGTATGCATGTAAATAATGGTAACTAATAAAGGATTGTGTGATTGGAGGATAGATTTATAGAATTAATGATTATACTATTTTAATTGACCTTACAAGTTCACTCCTATAGGTTAGTCTATCTGAATATGTAAAATTCTGTCACTTTGGGAATAAATATTTCCAGATTCAGTTGGTGATGGGAGAATCTGTACAGGTAAAATTCTTTTCATTGAAGGTGCTATCGTACTATGTCTAAGGAATCTCTAGGTAAAAATTCAGCTGAGAAACAGAATTGTAGGCATAATCTATATAAATCAAATCACATCAATTTGTTGATGTACCAACATTTGCTCGATGCAGTTGTTTGTCCGTGTGGATACGTGTGAATTGATTATTAAACTAGACTTTCTTTTTATGCCAGTTTTAATTTCACAGCAAAATTCAGTAGGAAGCTCAGAGATCTCTCTCTATATACTCTTCCCCACAGATGCACAGCCATATTGACATTCCACACAAAAGTGGTACATCTGTTATAACTTATGAATTCTTTCATCTGTGGATCTTACCTCTAATACTGTATCTAAAGTGACAAAGCCAAACCCTAGATCACCTAGATTATTTCCTGTTTCATCTTCTAGAAGTGTTTTAGCTTTGAGTTTTCCATTTAGGACTAGAGAGCATTTCAAGTTAAATTTTGTGAAGTATCGAAAGTCTACCTCTGAATTCATCATGTTGCATGTGGATATCCAGTTTTTCATCCACCATTGTTGATTAGACTGTCTTTTCTCACTTGTACTACCTTGGCCCTTAGGACAAAGACCAGTTATGTGTGCCTATTTCTAGAATCTTTGTTTTGTTCCACTGATTGATCTATCTATTCTTCTACCAGTATCTTGCTGTCTTCATTTCCATAGATTGCAGTAAGTCCTGAAGTCAGATTATGTCAGCTTTTCAACTTTGTTCTGTCCTTCAATATTGTATTGATGACACAGTATCTTTCCTCTTTCACTACAATCTTTAGAGTTGGTTTAACAAGATCAACAAATTGACTTGTGGGACTTTTATTGGGACTGCACTGAATCTAGGCATAAAGTTGGGAAAAACTATTTCTTTGATAATATTAAGCCTTTTTATCTATATAATCATGTCTCTGAAATCTTTCTTTCCAATCTGTATATCATTTATTTCCTTTTCTTGTCTTATTTAAGTAGCTCATACTTCCAATATTACGGTGCAAAAGAGAGAGACATCTTTCACTTTTACTTGATTTTACTGAGAAAGCGTCAAGTTTCTCTCACCCTTAAGTATGATATTAGATGTAATGTGTTTTTGTAGACATTCTTTATCAAGTTGAGAAAGTCCCCTTCTATTCCTAGTTTGTGACAAGGTTTTTTTTAAAATCACAAATGAGTTGTATTTTCTTAAGTCATCTTTCTGAAACTATTTATATGATTGTTAAGGTTTAGTTCTAGAATGTCTCTCCAAAGTCTTGTGTACTGATAGCTAGGGCTTTTAGAATGTAATTGCACTGGGGCAGGTACCACTATAGTCATCAGTGGATTCATCCACTAATAAGTTTAGCAGCTGTGAGTGCTATTAGGAGGTGAAACCCGATTAGAGGCAGGT